ATTCTTTAAAGAAACAAAAAAAACCAATTTATTTCTCCTTTACCAAAACTTAGGTATATGCCATCTCTAAGTTTCCTTCCCAAGTCTTCATTTCAATGGAGAAATTAAAATATTTCTAGATCTACACATTTCCAAATACTATCACCTAAACTCACAGGTACTGCCTTAGAATAGTAAGGGTTAATTAGCAAATCTAAATGGTACTGTCAAAAAATGTGTATGTGACTCCAAAACTAAAGATTTACTGAGGAATATCAAATTTCACAAGAGACAAATATATACATAGTAGAGCTACATGTTTATAATTCAAGATTACAAAGAGGAATTCAGTTATCAATAATTCTGGTGCTGCCCCACCTCTCATCCTCCAGTTTCCTTAACCTTACAAGTTTGTATCTGTGATTTCAATGGCATAGGTAACTCCAGCACATGAAGTCCCCCCACTAATACAGGTGACTAACATGTCTGTAACATTATCTTAGAAACACCTGCCCAAGGATACTACTCTAATTCATTTGGCTATGCGCTGGAGAGCCACGCAAAGAAGAAAATGATAGAAAAGATTTTGAGGAAGCAGAGGTTAAAAGACATGGACTAAAATTCTACAGGAGAAAAGAAAGCTGGGAGATGCTACGGAATGCAATTCTGTATTGATGATGAAATAAGCCTCCTACCTCTTGACAGAGAAAAGATGCAGCACTGGTGAAGATAGACAGATTTTCAGCTAAAGACAACCTGTTATTTCTTTTGCTCAACAATACCTATATCTCCTATATGGGAAGAGGAAGAGGGGGACGGAGGGAAACGAATAAATGGGTACTGATAGATGATAAAAAAGAAAGACGCATCAATAAAACATCTTATAATATACAAAACGAAACAAATAATACTGCAGAAAGGGACATAAATCATGCACAAAATTTGTTATTACCTTGTTAAATTTAAAGTACTTTTAAAAGAACTAAAGAACACACATGCACAGGTCCATGTATAATCTTTTTTTCCTTCATATCTGTGTGCTTCTTGATGAATGACGGTCGTAATAAATCATAAGAAAAGAAAATTTTTAAAAGAATGAAATTATTCCTTCAGAAATTATTTTCCTAACACAAGGAACACAACATAAATGAAGTAGAAAAACAGAAGGCCTAGGCAATTCATAAACTTAGATTGTAAAAAGAAATACACCAAAATTGGAAGGGTAGCCAAGAGACTTAACAACCCAACCTAAGAAACCATTATGGTCCTGCAAACATGGCATGAGCAGTACTAAAGCCCAGAATGAGCTAAAGCTGAGAATAAAAGAGAGGAGAAGATAAAGAGATTGTTCTTTCATTGATGGTGAGAAAATCTGAACACTAATGCATTGCTGGTAGAATTGTGAACTAATCCAACCATTCTGGAGAGCAATTTGGAACTATGCCCAAAAGGCTATAACAATGTGCAAAACCCTTTGACTCAGCAATACCACTTCTAGGGCTGTATCCCAAAGAGATCATAAAAATGAGGAAAAGACCCACATGTACAAAAATATTTATAGCAGCTCTTTTTGTGGTGGCCAAGAACTAGAAATTGAGGGGATGCCCATCAATAGGGGAATGGCTGAACAAGTTATGGTATATGAATGTAATGGAATACTATTGTGCTATAAGAAATGATAAGCACGCAGACTTCAGCAAACCTGGAAGGACTTATATGAATTGATGGTAAGTGAAGTGAGCAGAACCAGGAGAACGTTGTACACAGTAACAGCCACACTGTGTGATGACTGACTGACTTTGACAGACTTAGCTCTTCTCAGCAACACAAGGATCTAATACAACTCCAGAAGATGCATGATGGAAAATACTATCCACATCCAGAGAACCAACTATGGAGTCTGAATGCAGATTGAAGCATACTATTTGCTCTCTCTTTTTTTGTTTTGTTTTCTTTTTGTTTTGTTTCTTCTTCGTTGTGTTTCCTCCCATTTGTTCTAATGCTTCTTTACCACATGACTAATGTGAAAATACGTTTAATGAGAATGTATATGTAGAGCATATATCAGATTGCATGCCATCTTGGGGAGAGGGGAGGGGAGGGAGGTAGAGAAAATTTAAAACTCAAAAGCTTATGGAAGTGAATGTGAAAACTAAAAATAAATAAATAATTATTTTTTTTTCCCCAGAAAGGGACTACATCTGTGCCTGAGGTAAAGGAACAGTGATAACTTACAACGGGGAAAGGCAGAGCTGCTCAACTCTGACTATGTTTCTGTTTTCTCTGCCAAAGCCAATCACATCAGCAGTGGAAATAATGAAACTAAAATGGCTAACAAAGAGCTCATCCCCAAGATTAGTTAGGTAGATAGCATGGAGAGTAGCTTAGCCTGCCTTTAATTAACTCAAGTCATCTTGATCTCCCAGCCTTGGACTGGAAGGTGTGACTGCTAAGCCACTGCCCATAACATCTCAAAAAACATGGAAAAAGGGAAAGGGACCATAATATTGCAGAAGAGCAAAGATTGTCTTGTTTTTCAAAAGAGAGAAGGAAATCATAGATTTACAGCTAGAAGGGCCCTTCAGGATCACCTAGTACAATCTCCTCATTTTACTGATGGAGAAACAGGTTCAAAAGGTGAAAGTCACACCTTCAAGTGCTCTGCAAGCCAATGGTTGAGAACCTCTAATGCCAAAGCCAGTGTTCCTTCTCCTTCATGCTTCTTCTAACAAATATGCAAACTAAAATCCAGTAAGCTTAACTTCAGTTTCTTGAAAAACTCTACAATGAACCATTAAAAGGATGGCTGGTAAACACCTAGAAAGGGAAGCAGCAATTACAAAGACCTAGCATAGCATCATCAAGAATATATCATGTTCTTATATGAACCAACACAAAACAAAGAAGAGCCAGGAAGGCAATATGTATAATAAATATAACAACATAAATGTGTTGTTGTTGAGTCATTTTTTCAGTCGTATCCAACTCTTCATGGACTCATTTGGGGTTTTCTTGGCAAAAATATTGAAGTGGTTTGCCATTTCCTTCTCCAGCAACAACATAAATGTAAAGAACAACAAAACAATAGAAAATGAATACTGTGAAATTATTATCACCAAGTTAGGCCCCAAAAGATAAGATATCTCCCCACCTTATTTGTAAAGGTGAGGGTTACAGATGTAGACACTGCACACAATGTCAGACTTTTTTAATGTGTCAGTCTTGCCAAACTGTCTTTTTTTTTCTTTTTCTGACTTTCTGGGAAAGGAAAGATGGAGAAATATAGTGAAAAATGTAGGGGAAGTGACCAAAAAATACATCAATAAAAATTTACTTTAAAAAAGAACAGGTCTTTGGTCAGATTAACTTAATTTCCTTTTTTGACAGGGTTACTAAGTGGAAAGATGAGAGGAACACTAGAAATATAGGTGACCTATCTTAGCCAAGCCTTCAGGAAAAAAAAAAATCTCAGTATTGTTGTGGAAAAGATGGACAGATATGAACTAAATTATTATATAATTAGATGAATGCAGAAGAGGTTACAGAGTTGGAATCAAAGGCTAGTTGTTAATGGTTCAATGTCAATGAGGCAGGAGACATCAGTAGAGGACCCCTAGGAATTTGGAACTGTGCAGTTAAACATTTTTATCATTTCAATAAATGCACAGTTGGCAAGCTCATCAAATTTGAAGATGACACAAGGCTAGGAAGAATAGATAATATACTAGATAACATTCAGGATTCAGAGATCTTCACAGGCTAAAACATTGAGCTGGATATAATAAGGTGAAATTCAATAGAGAAAAACGTAAAGTGTTATATTTGGACACAAAAAAAATCAACCTCACAGCAAAATATGGAAGAGGCATGGTTATAGAGCAGTTTTCTGAAAAAGATTTGGGGTTTTAATAGTCTGCAAATTCAATATGAGTCAGCAGTGTGATGTGTCAGCCAAAAAAACTAATGCAATGTTCAGTTGCATTAAGAATGGCATAGCTTTCAGGAAAAGGAAGGTGATAGTTCCATTGTACTCAGATCTCATCAGGAGTACTGTGTTCAGCTCTGGTACCATGGCAGAGGACGTATCCAGAGAGGCAAGCAAACTTGGTGAATGGTGAAAGGAAGCCCATCATATGAGGAATGTTTGAATTAACTGGGCATGGTTAACCTGGGGAAGAGAAAACTGGGAGGGGGAAAAGACATTTCAAGTATTTCAAGTGCTGCTGTAGGGAGGAGGATTTATATTTGCTCTGTTTGTGCCCCGGAGGTAGAACCAGGAACAATGAGCAGAAAGTATAAAGTGGTAAACTTTGGTTTGATGCCAGGAAAAACTTCCTAACAATTAAAGCTGCTGGCCAAAAGCCGCTTCAAGGAGTGGTGTAGTCTCCTTCCTTGGAGGCTGGTCTTCCAGCAAAGGCTGAACGAGCACTTATCAGAAATGTGAGAAATGGGGATTCCTTTTGTGTGAGGGTTAGACTAGATGGCCACCAAGGTCCCTTCCATGTCTCAAAATCTGTGATTCTGTGACTGCTTTCCCTCTTTAAAAAATCAAGTTAAATGTATAACTTTCTCCCCCCAACAATTCCTTAATTATTCCATGTGCTCAAGTCTCTTCTCAACTACAGTTAACTCCTTAAGGACAGCAGTTCTTTCTTACTTTTTTTGTTCCCATCATTAATTTGAATACAGTCTAGAACTTTTAAGAGCATTTAAAAAATGCTCAATGAAAGGAGTGATATTAATACTGTCTTAAATAAAGTAATGCTTTAAAACTAAGGACAAGTTTACTAGGGATAAATGAAAAAGAACGCAAACTGAAAAATGCTATGAAAATGGCTTCTGATAGTGTCTATCATCTAACAGAACTATCTTCATCTCTAAATCAGCCCTTATCAGTTTTACTGAAAACGATATGTCCAAATATCACAAACTGGTATGCTTTATTATACTTGCCTGTAAAAATTACTACAATAACAAATATGCTATAAGAATCTAGTTAAAATAAATGAGTAAATACTTACCTCCAGTGGTGAACTGCAAAGGAATCTTGTGAACTGCATAGCAGGGATTGAAAAGAATCAGAAATGAAAGACACACACACACACACAAAAGAAAAATAAGAAAAAATGTTATATTCACAACCTATTTTAAATAACAATTGCATACTTAAATATACTAAGGAAACTTAAAAAGCTATAGTTGTACATTTTTAAATCACCAAAAAATTTAAAACTGGCCTCATTGCCATCTTCAGCTCTAGCTTGTCTTTTCCCTAGTGCCCATGTATCTGGCTTTCTAAAGTCTAGGACTTATGCACAATTCCCTGAAAATGAAAGTATTACATGCAGCTAAATGCCTTCTAAGTCCCAGTTTTTAAAAAGAGGCTGGATGACTTGTCAATGATACTGTAAGCAGCAATTGATGAATCACACCTGAGGGACATAACCTGAAAGATTCCTTCCAACTTTAAGAGTCTATGTTTTTAGCCAATATAGGTATGTTCGTGTACATACATACATATGTGCACATATGGATACACACGTTTGGGTATATAATTAGATATGAATATATACATATATGATGTATATATGTATATAATATGGATATCCATACTGGCTTATGGATAATTAATAAAAGGAAAAAGTAAGTTCCAAGTCAAAACACATTACATTATCACCTGAAGATACAGGCCCAACTTCCATCTCTGGTGCTTAATAATTGTGTCACCATGGGCAAGTAATTTAATTTCTCTAAGCCTCAGTTTACTCATCTACAAAATACAAGTAATATCCATGGCTCCTACCTCACAGGCTTGTGGTAAGGATCAAATGAGATAAATACATGATATGCTAAACTTAAAACTCTATAAAAATCAGCTATTGTGGTCTCCAAAAACACTAAATAACTTATATTATTACCATTACAATTCCTTTCCATAAACAAAAAAAAACTATAGTTTTTTTGTCTTTATTATTAGGTGAACATTCTGGAAGTGTATACCAAGTGATCAAATCATCACCATTATGGCTATGTACCACAATCTGAAGAAATTCATCCCCTATTGTTTAAAACTCTACTTTAATAGAGCTAGGTAAGCAAGTTTCTACCTTTCATAGAATAACAAAATGTAAAATAATAACTAATGATAACATATTCATATAATGGTTTACAGTTTACAAGTACTTTCTTCACAATACCACCATAAATAAGTATAAATTTTAATATCCACATTTCACAAATTAGAAAACTGAAGTTTCAAGAAATTAAGTGACTATCAAAATTAGGACTTAAACTCAGCTTGTCTAACTCCAAATGTAGTGCCTTTTACACGATATTCAGGTATATTTGATTTTTTAAAAATAATTGCAGGCATCTTGAACTTAACAGCCAATATGAGCAGTCCATATACAAAAAACAGAAAAAATACTGTACATGAAACCCTGAATCTCCATTACACATGGTTTTTTAAAAGTATATTCTGACACTCCACACACTACTTAACAAAAGTGTCTAGCTTTTCTGTGTACCTCTGAACCTCCTTCTATTCTACAAACTTTTAAAAAGGTTTCATTGATGTCTTTATCATTCTTTTTTCCCCCTATCACTACCTACTTCCCCTGCCACAATTCTTTTCTTACAAAGCCCTCCCTTATTGAACTATTAGCATAGTAAGTCAAAACAATGATACTGTAGTTTTGGAAAATTCTACTCTTTGTTCTGCACATTTCATTTTGCATCAGTTCACACAAGTCTTCCCAGACTCTTCTGAATCTGTTTCTTTCATAATTTCTTTTGATGCAAATATTTCCCTATACCATACAGTATAACTTATTCAGCTATTCCCAACTGATGAACATTCCTTTAGTATATATTTCTTTGCTACAACAAATATCATGATACACATAAGACCTAACATGAGTCTCAAAAGTTTTCAAGTATAATCTGAAATTAATTTTATTTTCCATGGTTTATAAACTTTTATTCTGAAAGTTTTATATATAGAAAATAGCATATATACAGTATTACATAATGGCAATTGGCACGGAATGTTACTGCTTGTAGAAATAAAGACATTATGTCTTACTACCTGCCTCTAGCTCAATAATGTATATATTTTCTTTAATTTCCACTTTGAGATAGAATATTTATAAAACAGGTATTTCAAGGAGATTTAAAAACTTTCTTCCCCTTTGAAGTTACAAAAACATGAAATATGTGATTCAAAGCACTCATTCTCTGAAGCAAAAAAAAGCAAATAACAAGTCACAAGTTATATATCCATATTCCTATTAGCAAACATGAAAAAGATTTCCAACTCTTTCTGTTAGTTTACCAGAAAAAAAAATCTATAGGCATTTTACTTCATCTGTTAACTATTTAACCTCTTTCACATAATGTATTTTGAAGAATAAGGAAATAAGAAAATTAAATATTATTACAACATATACTTGAGATACTGACTGCACAATTAGAATCCTTTTAAATAAAAACAATTATGTTAACCATTTCAATGTAACTAGGTCCCTTCTATATCCTTGCTGGCAGCCCACATTAACAGCATTTTGTGAATGTAGATATATAATTGTTTTGAACAAGAAATCGTGAGTAGTAAGTCTTTTCACAAGTTAACTCTCTACTTATCAGTAAGTGTGCTTCTTCTGTTTTTGTTTTTTTGGTGAGGCAATCGGGGTTAAGTGACTTTCGCAGGGTCACACAGCTAATAAGTATCAAGTGTCTGAGGCCAAATTTGAACTCAGGTCCTCCTGACTCCAAGGCCAGAGCTTTATCCACTGCGCCACCTAGCTGCCCCCTAGTAAGTATGCAGCTTAAAAGATACTTCCCTAAGTACATGTAATAAATTCAATGCTAAATGTTCTTAATAAAACTTAAATTTTTCAAAATATTAAGTGATTTTTTCCAGGCAAATATTCACATATAAGTGAGAGTAATACAATTCATTTTAATTCAACAGGCATTTATTATACACCTACTCTATAAAAGGCACTCTGGAGACAATACAAAAATCACAAACCAGTCCCAAACTTCAAGGATCTTACAGCTCTTCTAGGGAGGGATTCAACATGGAAATAGGTCAGAAAGATAAAACAGAATAATCCAAGGAAGGAGGGAACACTAACAAGGTACCATGTCAGGGAAAGTTTCTTGGCAGAAGTGGGCCCAGAACTGACTCCTGAAGAAACTAAGAGGAAGAGGTAAAGACCCAATTGTCATTTCCCCTGCCTCAACCCCAAAGTCAAGTTACCAGAGAAAATGGACTGTCAAGTATGGAGAATAACAAGTAGGCCAAGCAGCTGAAACAATATTTAAAGAGTAGCCATGTGGCAACTGATCACTAATGTGACATAAGTCTAGAAGGGGTGCCAGCAACCTGAATGAAAAGAGTTCATATTTTATCTTTGAGGAAACACAGGGCCACTCAAGAGTCTTTAGCATGATCTGTGCTTTAGGGAGATTGTGTTGGCAGCTGTGTACAACGTGCTGTGGAGAAGGGTAAAACTAGGTAGGAAACTAATTGGAAGGCTACTACAGTAGCTTAGATGCAAGGATGAAGGCCTGAAAAGGGGTGGTGGTTATATGGTTAAGGAAGTGGGTTTGAGAGATAATGTGGAGGGAAAATTTATTAAGACTTGGCAAACTGACTGGATTTGGGGGAAAGATAAAAGAAGAATAAAGGGTCAGAAATGACCAAAGATTGAAAAATTGAGCGTAAGGATGAAGAATAGTGTTAGCCATGAGAAATAGGGATACTTAGAAAAGAAAGAAGTTGAATTTTGGACATACTGTCAGCCTATGGGACATCCAAGTGGAGATATCCTGCAAGCCATGGGTGACGAAAAATTAGAGCAACTAGAAACTAGTTGCTATATAGATAGAAATAAACTGAGCCCATGGAATAACTTGACCAACTGAGATGCCAAGACCACAAGGAAAGTATGCAGAGAGAAGGGATCTTGGGATACACACATAATTAGGAGGTCAGAGGAAAAGCTTCTTGTCATAAAAGCCTAGAGAACAAGGATTAACCAGAGAAGCAGATGATCAAACACATCAAAAGCAAGAGAAAAACAGAACTGAGAAAACTGGATTCAGTGATTGAAAGATTATTGTTAACCTTCAAGTAGCTCAACTGATTGATGGTTTGAGAAGCCAGACTACAAAGGGCTGAGAAGGAAGTGAGAAGTGATAGAGTGAAGGCAACAAGTTAGACACTTTTTCTATGAGTTTGCCTGTAAACAGGTTAAAAAGCTACAAGATAATGGTTTGGGAGGATGGCAGGGTCAAGTGAATCAGAATTTTTGAGAATGGGGAAGATATGAGTATGTTAAGTATGTTAGTAAGTGGAAGGGAAGAGCTTTGTACATAATGAAAATAAAGGTGGGGAGGGGGAGTGATGAATGACAGACAAGCTGCCAGAGGACACGGGAAGAACCGACTTTGGCAAGGAGAAAGACATCTCTCTTCCAACACTGAAGCCAGGGAGAAAATGAGGGACTGGTTTAGAAGAGGTTTAACGACTAGAACTGAGGAGAAGAGAGAGCTCATAAAAGCTATCTTCCATTTTAAGTAGGTGAGGAGGGAAAGGCAGGGGTAGAGGAGGCTTGAGGATGAAGAAATGAATTGAACAGCTGCTTTGGAGAGTATAATAGAAAATAAAACAAAGAAGAAATTAAAGGACTGGTATGCAGTACAAAGGATCGAACTGTAAGACGAGGCAACAGAAATTTGTGCAACACAGTCTGTATGGTTGGGTCATTTCCTCCAGAAGTGCATCAATAGAAACACAAGAAACAGGCAATGGGAATAAGCAAAGACTGGTGCTCAGAAAGGCACAAGTATCAATGGAACACGCAGGCAAGGAATCTAAGGGTAGTGGGCAGCGTATAGCGAAACTGCTTAACTACAGCTAGTTGGTACAGTGAATAGAGTGCTAGACTTGGGAGTCAGGAAAAAAATGAATTAAAATCTGGCCTCAGACACTTACTAGCTACGTGATCCTGGGCAAACCACTTAGCTTCTGTTTGCCTCAGTTTCC